GAAGGAAGGAAGGAAGGAAGGAAGGAAGGAAGGAAGGAAGGAAGGAAAGGGTGTTCTTAATTTCCCTCCTAGGGTATTTTCAGAGGGAAAATCCAAACACAAATACCTTCAGTGGCATTAAGCATAAGCAAAATTCAGTATAATCTATCTAGGTGCACAGAGCTTTCCAGAAAAATGTCCGTGTCCTTCTCTCTCAATAAAGTGACATTTTCCTCACAACATAAGGACATTTTCTGTGGCTTTGCTATTTGTTCCCTAAGTGATGGGTGATCAGGCCCACTACGCACTCTTGAGGTTCTGCCCCGGTCCCCCGGAGATTATGTCTTTTGTGTTTCCTCGGGGCTGGGCAGGGAAGAGGATGAAGGCAAAGGACCCGGTCTGGGTCCAAACAGGGCGGCGGGGGTGGTGGGCAGGGGGTTGTGAGTGTGTGGATCTTCGCTGTTGTCTCTTCTTGGTGGCAAGGGGGGAGGCAGCTTGTCCTCTCCGAGGCTGCAGCCTGCCTCTGAGGACAGATTGCCCCCACCTCCCCCCGGTCGGCAGCACGCGTCTCTTTTGCGTCCAGATTGGCCGCGACCGGCGCTCAATAGCGGGAGGTTAATTTCCTTCACAAAGGTGAAGGGGGCACGGCTCCGGGGGGGCCCCCGCGCCCAGACAGGCGGCCCCTTTATTCCGCTGCGCCTTGATTGGAGCCCTTGATTTAGCATCTGATGTCAGCCGGCAGACAAAATGCCCCGCTCCGAATGAAAATGCATGAGGCGGTGCAAGGAGAGCGGAAACCAACTTCAGTGGGGCGCACGCGGCCGACCGCGCGTTTCGGCCTTTGGCCAACTCCTTCCGAATCAACCCAGTCCTGCGCCTCGAGGCGGCTCAGAGTGGCCTGGGCTGGGCTCCTCCAAGGATGCCAATCTTTGAGCCTCGGAGAACTTAAAAAAAAAAAAAAAAAAAAAGTTCAGAAATCCAAGTACCTTTTGGAACCCAGCCCAACTTGACCCCCCGCCCCCCGTCTGCCCCAGGGCCGCGTCTGCTGGCGATTAAAGAAGTGCGGTGCCAACTGTTTCTAAAAGTCGAGATAAAACCTTCCAGTCGCACGCACGCGAACGCACGGAGGCCTTGGATACAAACGCCGCCCTCGGCTGCAGCCTTAAGACCAGAACCTCTACCTAAGTTTGCAACTCCGGGGTCCATTTTTCGCTTGGGTCCTGGGTCCCAAGGCCCACCCGTCCGAGCCTCTCGGACGCCCGGGCTTTGCCACTATTTTCATTTTTCTTTTATTATTTCCCAAACACCAGGCGGAGTCCCTGCGCCTCCCCCGACTCCTCTCCCGCCCCAGCAGCCACACTCAGATCTCCCCCGCGCCTGCTGCTGCCCACCGCCGCCCCTACCCAATCAGCGCGCACAACTTCCCCCTCCGCTCTGGCTCGCGGATTGAACCCTCCTGACATATTTGGGGCCATTCTTCTCCTTTGTTGCTATTTTGCTCGCGACCCGCGGGTAATCCCCGCGCGGGAGGGGGGCGTGCATTGTCGTGCTGATGGACGGGCCCATTTGGCGGCTCCGCGCCCCCCGGAGGAGAGACACAAAGCCCAGGCACGTGCGCCTCCCCATAGAGGAGCAGTAGACCGTGAAGGGAGGCGGGGCCGGGCGTGTGCCTGGGCCGGGCGGGGCGGCGGCGCCGGGCGGGGCGGCAGCGGGGCGCGCGCGGGGGCCCAGCGCCCTCAGGTACATCTGCCGCACCTAACGGGCGACCCCCGAGTCCCGGCCCCTTTTTTGCCGCCCCGTAGCCCTCCCACCCGACCAGGCGGAGGAGGTGCGGACGCGCTGATTGGCTCCGGAGGAAGCGGGAGGCGAGAACAATGGCCCCCTCCCCCCGTTAAAAGGGAGCGGCTCCCGGGCCCGGGGACAGGGACGCGCGTGCAGGGCGCAGAGCCGGGCCGAGCCGCCGCCGGCGCCACGCGAGTCCCGTAGCCGCCGCTCCCGGGCCATGGGCCGGGGGCACTGAGGGCCGCCCGGGCCGAGCGCGGAGGTGGGACCGAGCCAGTGCCTTGCCCTCGCGCTGCGCCAACATGCCCCGCGGCTTCCTGGTGAAGCGCAGCAAGAAGTCCACGCCCGTGTCCTACCGGGTCCGCAGCGGCGAGGACGGCGACCGCGCGCTGCTGCTCTCGCCTGGCTGCGGGGGCGCCCGCGCGTCGCCCCCAGCGCAGAGCCCGGGGCCGGGACCGCTGCTGCCGAACG